AGGAGGACACCTAAGAGACAGTACTGCCCTAGTCAGAACTGTAGTAAATGTATTGGACATAATGTTACCAGCATTACCATTTCTGGCCCCGAATTCAGCTCTAAGGAATTGGGGGGTGCTACTCTGTCCTGTGTCGTTAGCAATGTGCCAGAATAATTTATTTAACTCAGCTGGTTAGAGAGGACCCCAGAGAAAGTTTCTCTTTCTGAGGGATTCTGGATAAATGAGCCTTTAATTAAGTGTAATGCGGTTCCGCTCGGCTGGCAGGGGCAACATTAACAGAGTGCCCACTGTTGCCTGAAGTTAGTGTTGTGTGATCTCTGCTTTACCATGTGTTAACCTTGGTTTGCCATTCTTAAATAAGAACTAATGAGGAGCATCCATTTTCTCTGACTGGAGAGTAAAGGGTGGAAGTAAACAAGCCAGAGTCAGGCTCTGCAAAAAGTTATTTTCAAATCCCTGTGGTGATGCTGGATGTTAAAATTCTCACCATAGCTTGTATGAAATAGTCGAAGAGATGTTTTTGGCCTTGTTAGTGAAGCCACCTGGCTCTAAAAACCACAGTGTCAGCTGGTTTTGTTTGATTGTAAGAGACAGCATAGCCTCTAAAAGGTCACTCGCTGGGCATTTAGACTGTAAGACTGCTGTCCTACTCCGTTCTGTGTAGGAGAATATGTAGTATAGTGTCAGCTGGCACTTTTAAACAGTCGTAGTCTTTGCAATTAAGAAGACAAATGCACTAAAACTATGGTACAACATAGTCCAATGATGTCTGAGTGGGCAGTATCATGTCATATTACAGTGTTTTTATAATGTTTAGACTAAAATATACTGTATTTGTACTGTAGGTACAGATGATAGTAATGTGACATTTTCAACCTAACACGTGATTTAGCTTTTGGTGCGTGGAGCTGGGAGCTGGAAGCCAACCCTCAGACCAGCTTTGAGGTGGACTGGATAATCTATTTATTTTCTCAACTGCACTCAAGTTCAACAGCAGCTTTCACAATTCACAAAACACACAGAAGTCAGATATCAATACACAGTCAAATGTGTCAAAAGGTAGGAAGAGAAAGTCTTCTAATGCACAAAAACAACTCTTTATTGACCCAAGAGTGAAAAACATCCTGGTCAATGAGCCTCCAAACGATATGCACATTTGATTTTCTACAGTTTTTCATGTGTTAAAAGTCAAAAAATATTTTTATCCCTACCCAAGGCTAAAGACATTGTATTTGTTTGTGTTTTAGCCAAATTGAAATGATGGTGAAATGCAATCGAGGAGTACCTGAGTATTTCTATTGGCGTCTGCGCAAATGAACCTTAAAATGTGTTTGTGTATGAACATGTATGTGTATTTGTGTGTGTGT